GGTAGGGGGTGGGGGGTGACTTAGTGCGGCTCATTCCTATTGCCCAGTTTGGCAAACCATTCTTCCCTGATCTAAATAAATATACCCACCTCCCCACCCCCTTGTCATAGGGTGGAGCCTGGGCATCCAGACATGCTCATAATGGGAAGGAAAATCCCCCCCAGCACCAGTACTTGGGTGGGAAGCAAGATACCCAGTGCTAAAGTTCCCTCTTTTCCCCAGTGCAATACTGTCCCATGGCTGGTATCCCCAGAGCTTGGACTGGCCTTCACTGGCTGGTTGACTGGCTCTCTGGCCTGGGAGGGGTTTTGAGCAGGTAAGTAGTGTCATCAAATGGGAACAGTGGACGTCAACTCTTGCAGCAGAGTGGCGACGCTTTGGAAGCAGGTAATGTCCAGGTGAGAGATGATGAGTGTCTGAATAGGGCAATGGCCAAGGATGGAGACGAGAGATATTAAGGGGTAGAATCAATAGGACCTGATTGATTGATATGGGCTGACATCCAAAGACCTTCACTTAGGCGGCCACTCCAGCCTCCAGTGTTGCCACTGCCCTTGCTCTAGCTGGTTGCTGAATGTTCTTGCTGTACTCAGGCTCCATGCCTCTGAACGGTGTGTGCCGGCTTCTGCCTGGAAGACCATCCCCTCCCTCCAGAAATCTTGGATTCCTTTGTCTGTTTCCCCCACTAGAGAATGAGCTCCTTGAGGGAAGGGGCTGAATCTCTTAGCTCTGAATCCCAGCACCTGGCACAAAGCCTAGAGCGCCACGTATATTTGTTGAGCGAATCAATCACTTACAAAAGATGCAGGGTGGAGCGGAAAGAAAGAAATGAAGAGGGAAGGAATGAAGACATCCCCAGGCGCACCGTCAGATCTTATTATAATCACTCCTCTCTCTGATGTTACACACTAATCCTCAATGGAGTGAGGCTTGAGAGTGATCTAAATAGCATCTGCCCCTGCTAGATACTGGAACTCGAACCAAATAAAATGGGAATGGTTCAAAGAATATTCTATTATTCCGTCCCAATGGTTTCAGTAAGACGGTCACATTACCAGAGGGAGTGCCTTGCAGACTTAGATGCGGGTGGCGGGTGGGGGCCACTGAGAGCCAGAGAGAGATAACAGGATAAGGTGGACAGAGCCTGGACGACTCGTCCGGGTCCCGAGCTCCAGTCCTGGATGCACAGATAGCCCGGGAGCTGGGCCTTTCTGAGGGTTCCTGCAGATTTACATTCTAAAATCTCTGTCTCTTTGCTTTGACTTTTTGTGTTCCTCCCTTGCTGCTTCCACACTCACTGATCCCCCAGGTCCTCAGGAGACCAAAATGTAAGCCGGAGCAGGAGATAGGCCTTGAATTAATTTCAGTGTCTTTGTATCTCACAGTAAAATAGAAAATCTTGCATCTTAAGTCCTGTTTGTCCAGGGCTGCTATATTTTCTTTTTTTTCCCCACCAATTAATTTTTTTTAAGAAAAGACTTATTTTCTCTAATGTCCCATTAGCCAATGTGAAGTCTGGGAGTGTTAAAGCACTCACAGGGTGACTCTGGGCAAGTTCCTCTGAAGACCTCTCCCAAGCCTGCTTCTCTGGCTCTGTTTGCATACCTGGACCCCGGAGAACCCAGTACTATCCGTAGGCAGTCTGGCTACTGACTACCATACCTTCATCAACCCATCTCATACTTCTTTTGTGACAATTCACGTAATTAATCAGCCTCATCTTACAGGTGGGGCTTCCAAAGGGCTGGCTTGGGGTTATGTAACTCGTGCGTACCGGGGTCTAGGATCAGAGCCACCCCTATCCTATACAGCCCGTGCTTGGGTGGTTACACTTTATCCTTTGTGTTTTGGTAGCAATCTGGAAAATACTCCCTGGTTCTGGTTTTCCACTGTCCTAATCTCTTAATTCTTCTGCATTAGAAAAGAAAGGTGGGCTTGGAATAGCTTGAGTCCCTGGGCCCCAGGAGGAATCCAGGAGGCTGGGCTTGGGGGGCTGTAGACTGCACTGAATATACAAGCAGCTCTCCCCCAGATTCAGCTTTCTATATGGGGAAATGGCCACGGAAGCCATTAGTTCACTCGCTCTGGGCCAGAATGAGAGCAGCGCCTGCTGGTTCAGCTGGCTAGCTCATGCTGATCACGAGCTCCGACGGGCAATTATATATGTCTTTGATTAATAAAAAATGGAGCGATGAATGAATATTTAATCAACAAAGTCTGGCAGGTTGACTCTTTCAGAACCTGGGCTGGGGGGGAGGCAGGGAGTAATCAAAGGGGTCCTTGGTGGTGAAAAGGCAAAGCACCACTCCAGGGGGTGGTTTCTGGAAGGCTGCTGTGGACTGGAAAAAAATAAGCACAACCTAAAAGTTGTGAGCTGTGTTTTATTCGGTGACCTTACTGAGGACTATAGCCTGGGAGGTAGCCTCTCGGCCCTGAGAAACTGTTCCAAAGAGGTCAGGGAGGAGTCAGATATCTAAACGTTTTTGCTGGAGAAACAACAACAACAACAATAACGATAACAGCCCATGTAGTCAGACAGGAAAAGATTACTGCCAATCACAAAAACAGATATCTCAAGTTCATGATTTTAGAATTTTTCTAAGTATGGGAAGAGGAAAGCATGTTGGCTCATTGAAGTTATTCCTGCATAAGATCTTAACTGGAACTTCCCTGGTGGTACAGTGGTTAAGAGTCCGCCTGCCCATGCAGGGGACAAGGGTTGAAGCCCTGGTCCGGGAAGATCCCACGTGCCGCAGAGCAACTAAGCCCATGCACCACAACTACTGAGCCCCTGTGCCACAACTACTGAAGGCTTCATGCCACAACTACTGAAGCCTGCGCGCCTAGAGCCCGTGCTCCGCAACAAGAGAAGCCACCGCAATGAGAAGCCCGCACATCACGACGAAGAGTAGCCCCTGCTCGCTGCAACTAGAGAAAAGCCCCGCCGCAGCAACGAAGACCCAGCGCAGCCAAAAATTAAAAAAAAAAAAAAAAGATCTTAACTATCTAGGGCCAGAATCTCGTTTTCACCATCCTGAATTCCCATCAGGGTGCACCGTCTGGTCGGCCGCAGGTAGTGGAATGGCAGGCAACACAGTCACTGAAAGGCCAGGCACCATTTTTTTTTTTTTTTCCTGTCTGCACTGTCTAGTTCCGGCTCTTGGTTCTCTGACTCTGTTTTGGGATTTGCTGTCAGCACTAGGAGCATGAGATCAGGAGAAAGGATTGAGCTCCCGGGTAAATGGGGAGAAACGTATTCTGTGCCCACCCGCGTGGTGCCGGTAGAGCACAAGGAAGAGAGAGTGTGTGTGTGTGTGTGTGTGCGTGCAGGTAAGCCGTCTGTGTGTGTGTGCTGCGACTGTGTGATCTTTTCCGTGGGGCTGCCTGTCCGTGCGCAACACAACTAAAACTATCTCGGTCAGGGGAGGGAGGAGGGGCAAAGGAGCTGAGAGGCTGCAAGAGGATCAAGAGAGGGAAACAGATGCTGCTGGGGTTACAGTGAAAGGAGGGAAGGTCTCAGGGCGTGGTCAAAAAGAGCACTGGATCGTGAGAGCTGGAGTAGGAAGTGATGGAGAGCGGGTCGCGGTGGACCTCTCTGGCCCCGCCCATCCCAGCCCTTCCGGGATCTCTGGGGGCGTGGAGGCACTGGGAGGGGCGAGTGGAGGCGCGAATCTAAACGTCGCAAGGTAAGCCGCGGCCAACGCCGAGAGCCCCGCGCGGAGGCCGGCGGGTGGGACGCGGCTCGGGGTCGGAGCCGGGGCCGGGGCCGGGGGTGCTGGCGGCGGGGCCGCGGGGACGAGGCCAGGGGCTCTGTGGCTGGGCAGACCTCGGGGCGCCCCTGCTGGGAGGGCCGCTGACCACGTGCTGGAGGGGGTGCGGGTGGGGGTGGGGAGCGGCTTCTGGGCGCTTTCCTGGCAGTTGGTGATGTGAGGAGGGGCGTTGGGAAGGGGATTATTGGGAGCCCTAGCCGAGGGTCACGGAGGATCGTGTGGAGGTGGGGATGTTTTTGCCCTTAGACTGGCCTGCGACGTGACTAACCAGACCATGTGACCTTGGGAAGTTGACAGAGTCCTCTGAGCTTTTGTCAGTGAACTGAAGATAAGAAAACACCCACTTTGCCAAGTTATTGTGAGGCTTTGTGAGGACCTGTGTAAAGTCCTTTAACCCCTGTTCCTGGCTTTCAATTGCTGCTGTTATTTTACTGGACCGTCTTCAGAACTGGGGCTCAGTTCCAGCTGCCCCACCTGTTGCCAGTTGTGGGAGAGAGAGGCATTTGCAGCTGTTTCTAACACCTGGCTTCTTTGTCTATCCCACAAAGAACCTTTGTCCACCTCTACCTTTCCCACAGCCCTGTGTACCAAGCAGCTTCTGCCTTATTTTACAGGATCCAGGGAATCGCCCACTGATGGTTTTTACCCAGGCCCGAAACAGCCAGCACCAGAGAGCCACCTGAACAGAAGCGCCTGCCAAAGCAATTTTCCAAGTGCTCAAAAGCCGGGCTTTGCAGCTCCTGTGGTCAGCCCAGGAGGCCACCAGTGGGATTTGAGGATCAGCTCCACCTCGGACCATGCAGGGCCAGAGCCTGCCCCTTCGTGTAGCCACCCTGCTGACGGGGCTGCTGGAATGCCTCAGCTTTGCGGGCGTCCTCTTCGGCTGGGCATCCCTGGTGTTTATCTTCAAAACAGAACATTACTTTGAGGAGCTGTGTGAACCGAACGCCAGGCTGATGGGCAATGCCACGGGGCTGGATGGTAAGGGAGGAGGGCTTCTCTAGGAAGCTGAGTCGGGTTCCCAGGTGGTGGGAAGGGGTCGGAAGGACTCCACCCCCTGCCTCCTCTGCCAGCATGTCTATGGTGAGAGGAAGGGAGTGTCAGCTGCCCCTGCCCTCAACCTTGGTCTCGGAGGTCCCTGGGGAGGGAAGTACCGGCTCCCAAGAGGTAATTAGGGGCAGTCACGTCTCCACTTAATCTAAGGGGCAACTTATCCTACCAGGCAAGCTGTCCAAGATGGAAGAGGCTGCCCCGGATGGGAGCCAGGCTGGGTGCTGGCCTGGCGGGAAGGCTGGGATGGATGGGAGGCGGCCCGTCCACCCTGGGCTCTTGAGATCTGCCTTTCTCTCCTCCAGACTGCAAAGCCCAGGACGAGCGCTTCTCACTCATCTTCACCCTGGCATCCTTCATGAACAACTTCATGACGTTCCCCACTGGCTACATCTTTGACCGTTTCAAGACCACCGTGGCCCGCCTCGTAGCCATGTAAGTCCCAAGGGGATCTGAACAGGGGTAAGAGGAATTCTGGCAGCAGCTTTGTTTGGAGGGAGACCCAGGCCAGGCAGCTGGGTATCCCTGCCGCAGCAGCCCTGCTAGAAACTGCCCAGGGTGTGGACTCTGTCTCGACCTTCCCTATTCCCCACACCCCTGCTTCCCTTTCTTCACCTCCTTCCTCTGTTGCATGTGAAACTGCATGCTGTACAATGTGCTGGATAGAGCAGGAGCCCAGGCCTACTTCCTGTGACGGCTGGCCTGGGACAGGGTTATGCAATTAGCAAAGCCTAGAATTGTCACTCTCGGGGCTTCCCTGGTGGTGGTCCAGCGGTTGAGACTCCGCGCTTCCAGTGCAGGGGGCGCCAGTTTGATCCCTGTTGGGGAACTGAGATCCCACACGCCATGCGGTGTGGCCAATAAATAAATAAAAATAAAAATAGAATTACCACTCTCGCCTTCATGCCGGGGACCTTTGTCCTCATCATCCCCGAGTGACTCATCGTCATCCTCGTCACCACCACCATCACTCCCCAGAAGCTTAGGTAGAAAGGCGTCCTGGGTGTCTCCAGTGGTGGGATTTCAGTTTCCCTCTGACGGGAGGGGAGGCCGTGGGGGTCCATCCCATGCAGACGAGTCACGAGTCACGGAAGGTGGGGGACTTGCTAGCTCCACGGGGTGCCACTGCAGCTGGCCAGGTTCGGAGATAAGCAGCGGCCTGCGGGGGAGCTGATAGGACCCCAGAGCTGGCGCCTCCCAGGAGGCACGTGAGAGGCTAGTTGTCAGAGGGACCGGAGGGTGGCTGGACCAGGAAACAGCCTGGCAGGAAAGCAAGCCCTTGGCTCTCTAAGCCTTTGGGTGCACGATGGCGCTGTCAGTCGCTCTTGGAATTTGGTCACCTGTCTCCTCCTTCCCTTCCTTCTTTGCCCACCCCCTCTTCTCCAGCCTTTAGTGTGTTAAGAAAAACCCAGTCTTCCCACCTGTGTTTCTCCTTTACTTTTACACAGAACTCTGCACTTCTGGTCACCAAATGTGTGGGAGCCTTTCCCACACCAGGCAATTCTGTGGCACCAGCTGGGTGTCCTATCATTTAACTCAATTCTGACACTGTCTACCTGGAGATATAGCATCAGATCCCACAGGTTAAGGGCTCAGTCCCACCAGACTGCCCTCCACCTCAGATGCCAATCGCAAGTGGTAGGTCCCCAATTTACCCACAACCTCTGTCTGACTCGGCTGCAAACCTGGGATTCCTGTGACCTCCTCCCCCATGGATTCAGTTATTTGCTAAAGGGCTCACTGAACTCAGGGAAACACATATACCAGTTTATTAAAGGATACGATAAAGGATACAGATGAACAGCCAGATGAAGAGACACATAGGGCGAGGTCAGGGAGGGTCCTGCGCCCAGGATCTCTTCTGTCCCTGTGGAGTTAGGGTGCAACACCCTCCTGGTCCATGGCTGTGTTCACCAACCTGGGAGCTCCCCAAACTCCATACTCTTGGGATTTTATGGAGGCTTCCTCATGTAGGCATGATCAGTTATTAAGTCCATTTCCAGCCCGTCTCCCCTCTCTGGAGAAGTCGGGGGCAGGGCTGAAAATTCCAAGCATCTGATTATGGCTAGTCTTTCTGGTGAGCAGCCCCCATTCAGGACCTATCCAGGGTCCCCTCATTAGAATAAAAGATGCTCCTAGGGCTCTTATCATGTAGGAATTTACAAGGGTCTTAGGAGCCCTGTGTCAGGGACTGGGGACCTGGACCAAATATGTATTTCTTATTATAAATCAGAATATCACACTTAAGCACTGCTTTTATTACCCCATGCTTCTAAGAGAGTCCCATAACCTTGGGATCGTGGTCCTTAAACAATAACGTCCTAGAACTTTAAGCTTAGGGCCTAGATCAGTCAGTCCAATCATCTCTTTTGTTTTTAATGGTTAGATTCTGGTTTTTTTTTAAAATTTTTTAAATTGGGGTATAGTTGTTTTATAATGTTGTGTTAGTTTCTACTATACAGCGAAGTGGAGTTCCCTGTGCTATACAGTAGGTTCTCATTAGGTATCTGTTTTATACCTATTAGTGTATATATGTCAATCCCAATCTCCCAGTTCACCCCACCAACCCCCCTTCCCCTGCTTGGTGTCCATACGTTTGTTCTCTGCGTCTGTGTCTCTATTTCTGCCTTACAAACAGGTTCATCTGTACCATTTTTCTAGATTCCACATATATGCGTTAATAAGCGATATTTGTTTTTCTCTTTCTGACTTACTTCACTCTGTATGACAGTCTCTAGGTCCATCCACAAACATCTCTTCATAGAAGAGGCTGCTGAGGCCCAGAGAAGGGCAGTGCCTTGCCCAAGGTCACACAGCAAGAGGAATTAGAACTCAAAATTATGATTTGTAAACGAGGCACTAACTCCTTTCTTCAAGGTTCTGACTTACTCTGTATGACAGTCTCTAGGTCCATCCACAAACATCTCTTCATAGAAGAGGCTGCTGAGGCCCAGAGAAGGGCAGTGCCTTGCCCAAGGTCACACAGCAAGAGGAATTAGAACTCAAAATTATGATTTGTAAACGAGGCACTAACTCCTTTCTTCAAGGGCTTAGCTGGTTGGGACTTCTAGGTGGGAGGACCTTGACTCCACGCACCCTGCCCCTCCAGCTTTCTCTCTTGTTGACCGCATTCTCCACCTGCCGTTCTGTGTTCCAGATTTCTCTACACCAGCGCCACGCTTACGATAGCCTTCATCTCTGCAGGTGAGTGCTGTTGGGAGGGACACAACCTCAGGGGCAGCTGGTGGATGGGCAGGTGCAGAAGGTGATGGACAGGATGCACTGACCCCCACAGGTATTCAGAGATCCACAAACTTTCAGCTGGAAAGAGTCCTTGAGAGAGTTATTGCTGGTCTCTAAAAACAGTTTAGTCTAGTGAGACATGCAAAAACTAAGGACAGTGGAGGGATTGCTTCAGAGAGAAGAATTTATTCAAAAGATTACATCTTTCCTTTTGTTATGTATTAAATGTCCTCTCTCTCTTTTTTTTAATGAAATGATAATATGAATGGCAGTTTTTGAAAATATCCTGACTTAGCCGGGTACAAACTGATAACTCTAGTGTAGTCAGAAGTTTCCTTTTCAAATTTTACTGGTCTATAAGGGTATACAGTTTCCAAAGTCTGGGAATTCCAGTCTGGTGTATTCCCCACTTCCTCCATTACGTAGAGGAGAAAACTGAGGTCAGAGAGAGACCCTTTGCAAAGACTAGCCAGAGGCCACAGAGCAAGTTAGTGGGAAGGGGTCCTGGGACCCTGGCTGTGCTCTTTGCTAGCATCTCAGTTATAGAGGCCAAGAGATGCTTTCCAGTATTCCTCCCCAGCGTCAGATTACGTGGCTCAGTTTTTGGGTTAGGAAGTAAAAAGTACCTAACTCTCCTGTGTCTAGTACCTGTGCTGAATCTGTTAACTTCATTTGTGTTCAGTGAACGCAGAGCTGACTGAGGGTCTCTGTCTGAGCAGATCTCATGAGGTTATTTAAAAACCACTCTTGCTCATCAAACGGTCTTCTTACCTAAAAGCCTAAACGTGATTTTCAAGTGGCTGAATGTGGAGGTGATGGCTGGGTATGTTTGACTCACATTTGTGAATCACTGGAGTCACAATATTCCCTTCCCCGCTAAAATAGGGCTTTTTGGTTTTGGAAAAAGCATGCTATTGTGAAAGGAATCTCAACCAACCTTTAGTGCATTTGAAGACGTACCTTTTATAGAGACAGAAATTGAATGGTAAACAGTGTGAATGCTCTAAAATGAGCAAGTTTACAGCGCTTCTCAAGGTATGGAACAAAAGTTGCTTGGATAATAGTCACTTTGGAGAATACTATTAGGAAGCACACATGTGCTGCATTAACATTGAATCACCTGGTGGGAGGATTACTCCCTTTTTATTTCTCATTCAGCCCTCTGATTTCATGCACGGAAGTCTTGGTTTGGGGCTGGGATGATTTTAACCCTATGATAAGAGCAGGTATCAGGCTTTGAACATTCCGAAGGCCACTGCGTTCAGTTATAGTTTAATAACAGTGTTTTCATTGTAATTTTTTTTACAGTTACCTCCCATTCACAAAAGCAACACAAGTTGCTTTTCACTTATACTAGCGATATAAAGTTTTCTCTTTTGTTGGCCATGCCACAGTGGCTTGTGGGATCTCAGTTCCCCGACCAAGGATTGAACCTGGGCCACGGCAGTGAAAGCCCAGAATCCTAACCACTAGGCAACCAGGGAACTCCCAATATAAAGTTTCCTTTAAAAATAATAGATTTCTTTTGGATAAAAGTGAGTCAACTTAAAAAAAAATTTTTTTTAGCAAATAAGACAGGTGTGGGTTATGGCCCAGATCATGAAGGTGGGCAGAAAGAAGGCTGTGACTTGGGAAAGACTAATTTACGGAGGGCTCCCTAGTCCTTGGCACTGTAGTTGTTTTTAGTTCTGCTCTTCTTACCCAACACTTGCCAGACCTATTAGAATGAATTTTTTGCATGTCAGTCTTTCCAAGGGCAAGAAGTATTTATTCATCCTGCATTTCCAGTGCCAAGCACAATGCCTGGCACAAAGGAAATGCTCAAAGTTTAATGAACAGAGAGACACTCAGATCTCACAGCGCCTGGTGAGGTGCGAAGAGCAGAAACAGTTATTCCCATTTATCAGATGAAATGACTGAGTCACAGATTCAGAATCTAGCTCAAAGCAGTGAATTAGAGGCTGGGCTCAGGGACTGAATCCAGGCTTCTCTCGACCACAGTGTCAAGGATGAGTAGAGGGGCTGCTTGTGGTTTGGTGAGGGAAGGGGGCGGTGGGTTGAGTCGTGCCTCTCTCTGTAGGCATCCACCCTGCCAGAGACCAAGGGTCATCTTTGGTAAGGAAGAGGGTGTCTCAGGAGACCTCTGCAGGGTCCCTCCGCAGGGGCACGTGAAGGAGCCGTGACCAGGACCCTAAGATCCTTGGAGGATGCTAGGAGGATGCCTAGAATTGGGGCCCTGAGCCCAGGATTGTAGGGAGCAGGGGGGGTCCAGAGTTCGGGGCTACATGTTTGGTTTGCACTGTGACACCTCCCCATCTCTGTCTTGGATTGTTCCAGACTCAGCTGTGCTGCTCTTCCTGGCCATGCCCATGCTCACCGTAGGAGGAATCCTGTTTCTGATCACCAACCTACAGGTGTGAGCCTGCCCTAATCACAGGGCCCTGGCCGGAGGTTGGGGCGGGTGGAGGGAGGGAGAAGCGCTTTGCTACATTGGCTGCCTCTGATGGGGTTGGCCCAAGCCAGGGTGGTAGCTCCTGGGGTGGAGGGTAGGTCTGGGTATGAGGGCCTGACACTTGCCGGGTGCACAGGAAAGATGTCACGAATAAATAAGTGATTCAGGCTGATCGTGTGTTCTCCAGATCGGGAACCTATTTGGCAAACACCGCTCAACCGTCATCACCATGTACAACGGAGCATTTGACTCTTCCTCGGCAGTCTTCCTTATCGTTAAGGTAAAAGATAGCAACAGCCCATGTTTATCTCCCCTGCTGCTGGGGAGCACCAGGCATCCATAATCAGCCGCCAGGGTGGAAGGCAAGGGCCTGGGCCAAGACTCATTCTTAGAAACAGGTTTCAGCCCCTAATTCTTACACTGACTTTTTGTGTGATGAAATACACCCAGGGACTTCCCTGGTGGTCCAGTGGTTAGGACTGCACACTGCCAAAAGAAAGACTCTGCATTTCTACTGCAGGGGATGCGGGTTCAATCCCTGGTCAGGGAACTAGGATCCTGCTTGCTGTGCGGCAAAAAAACGCCACCTAACATAAAGTTTTCCATGTTAGCCATTTTTAAGTATACAGTTCAATGGCATTAAGTTCATTCGTGTTGTTTACAACCGTCACCACCATCCATCTCGAGAACTCTTCTCCACCCTGTAAAACTGAAACTGTGCCCATTAAACAATAATCCCCATTGTGGGTACCCCCCCGTCGCCCCCTTGCCCCTGGCAACCACCGTCTTATTGTCTATTTCTGTGAATTTGACTACTGAAGGTACCTCACAAGTGGAATCATACAGTATTTGTCCTTCTGTGACTGGGTTATTCCATTTAGCATAATGTCTTTAAGGTTCATCAATGTTGTAGCAGGTGTCAGAATTTCCTTCCTTTTTAAGGCTGAATGATGTTCCATCGTATGTATGTGCCACATTTCCTTTATCCATTCATCCACGGATGGATACCTGATTTGCTTCCACCTTTCGGACGTTGTGAATAATGCTGCTGTGAATGTGGCTGTTACACTGACCTCTCCTTTTTCTGCAGCTCCTTTATGAACAGGGCATCAGTCTCAGGGCATCCTTCATCTTCATCTCTGTCTGCAGTGCCTGGCATGTTGGGCGTACTTTCCTTCTGATGCCCCGGGGGCACATCCCCTACCCGCTGCCCCCCAACTACAGCTATGGGTAAGGACTATGAGCTGGTGATGGTGTGCCCAGAGCCCCTCATCTCACCTGGAGTAGGAAGCAGGGATGGGACAGACATGGTAAGGCAGAGGAGACCTGTCCCAGGAGAGGAGGACTAGACCAGGGATGTATTAGTTAGCTACTGCTGCATAACAAACCACCCCAAAACTTAATGGCCTAAAACATTAAGCATTTATTATATCCACAAGTCTATGTGTAGCTGGCTAGTTCTACTGATCAGGGAGCTACTTGGATGATCTTGACAAGGCTTCTCATGCCTCTGATCATCTGGTGGGCTAGCTGGGGGCTGGCTGGTCTAGGATGGCCTTACTCACATGGGGTTTGTCTGGCCATATGGAGTGGCAGGGATTTCTGGGTCACGTGGCTCTTATCCTCCTGCAGGCTAGCTTGGGCTTCTTCACATGGTGGTCTCAGGGTTCCAAGATAAATGCCAAAATGCACAAGGTTTTTTCAGTTTTAAGCTTAGAATTGTCACAACATCACTTCTGCTGGGTTGTCTTGGCTGAGCAGCTCACAAGCCCAGCCCAGATGGAGGGGACAGGGAAATAGTCAGAGCTGTATTGCAAAGGGTGGAGAGCAGAGGATGGGAAGAAATGGGACCATTTTTGCCGCCACTCATCAAAGCAGTAGAGAGAGGGCATTTGTTTGCTGTTTGGCAGCCCCATGTGCTCTGATTTCATCTCACAGTAGTCCTGGGATACACATACTTATCTCCATTTTCCAAATGAGAACAAGGAGGCTCAGAAGAGTTAGGTCTGAGCCGTGTTGCACAGCCTCAGGAAGAGGCAGAGCTGGGGTCTGAACCCAGGCCTGTCCTATTCTTCCTGCACTTCAGTGGTTCCCAAACATTGCTGCGTATTAGAATTGCTGGGATTACCTGGAGATCTTTAAAAAATATGGGAGCTTGTCTCCCATGCCTAGACATTCTGATTTAATCGGTCTGGGCTGTGACTTGGGCATTGGGGTTGTGAAAAGGTGATTCCAATGTATAGCGAAATGTACTATGCCCCCTCCCGCCACACACACACACACACACACACACACACACACACACACACACACACACACACACACAGCCTGAATCTGAGGCTCAGCTCACAATTCTTGGGTCAGGCTGATGGGGCTTCTGTTTCCACAGCCTGTGCTCTGGGGATGGCCCTGGAGAGGAAGAGAAGAAAACGGCTGAGTCCCAAAAGCTCGAGCTTTCAGAGGAGTTCCTTTCACCAAAGGAAGGTGAGCCCTACTGGTCAACCCATTTCCCCTCCAGAACCTGACCTCTCCCCACAGCCAGCTTGGTTGCTCACCTCCAAAGCTTTCCCAGGGACTCAGAATCAGGAAAGGACAGGTAGGGAATAGACCTGCAGGATCTTCTCAACCCCCTCAATTTATAGGCGGTCCAGAGAGGGGCAACATTTTTGTCTCATCTCTCCTCTTGGTCCCCCTTTTCTTTCTCATCTCATCATACCCCTTCCCCTCGCAGCCAGTCTTCCATCATTTGCCTTCCCTTCCCCCCACTCCTAAGTCTGCCTTATTTTTCCCCATTTCTGCAGGTCTGCTGGGTCTGCCCTCTCTCATTGTCCCGTCTCCATCACTGCCTCCTTTCTCGCCTCTGTCTGTTTTGGGTCTTTGGTTATAAACATCACAAACCACTGCTGGTTAAGGTAGAAACGAGAACAGGATTCTGGGAAGTTCACAAAAGCAAGGGCGAAGTGAACTTGCCAGGCTCCATCCAGGAAGAGCAGAACCAGGGGACCTGCCTCTGGGGACCCCGGTCTGAAATCACAGCCAGTCTGCCTCTCGAGGAGGATGATCAACTTGGTCAGCCTTGAGTGAGGAATGGAATGCTTAATTCACAGTCCCATCTGGACCATGAAGAACAGGGCGGGGGGATATTTCCAGAGGAGACTCAGGATCCTGGTACGGAAGGAAAAGAAGGGGCTATGGATCAGCTGAAACACTAGCTGTCCACCACGAACCCTTGTCTTTAACTTTCTCCTCTCGTCTTTCTTTTCATCATCCTGGCTGGGAAAGATTACACAAGTGTTAATGCAAGAAGCGTCATTGAGTCCAAGCTGCGATACATCAGATTTCGGCAGGCAGAGCACGTGGGAGGCTCCTTCAGGGTGGTGGGGACAGGATGATGCGTGGAGGTGGCGGTGTGCCCAGGAAGGCAAGAAGAGCGGGTGAGCTCAGACCTCAGGCTGTCCTTTGAAGACCCCTACACTCTTGCCCATCCCTGCCCCCCGACTTTAATTGTAACTCTTGCCCAAATCTTCCTCTTGCCACCAGAGATCCCGAGACCAGGGCAGCGGCAGGAAGCCCTCTCTTTCTGGAGCTACGCGTTCTCTCGGCGCTTTGCCTGGCACCTGGTGTGGCTGTCTGTGATACAGTTGTGGCACTACCTCTTCATCGGTACCCTCAACTCTCTGCTGAGCAACTTGGCCGCTGGGGACACGGTACTAGGTATGTGACGGGGCTGGGAGGCAGCACACCTGAGCATCACAGCTGGGGACTTGGAACCTCGAGCAGCGGGTTGCTAAGCTCAGCAGGGCTCTGCTCCAGAGAAAGGGCTGAACACGGGTGGGGTGTGGCGAGGAGGGTCAGGCAGGGCAAGGGCCGGGTGGGAGGGTCCTCTGCTGTAAGGCACTCCTGGGAAGTTCTTACCGCCCAACCCCTCTCTGCCCTCTGCAGTCAGCACCTACACAAATGCCTTTGCCATCACTCAGTTCTTTGGAGTGCTGTGTGCCCCCTGGAATGGCCTGCTCATGGATCGGCTTAAATACAAGTACCAGGAGAAAGCAAGAAAGACAGGTGAGACCTGGGCTCCAGAGGATCAGGGAACCAGGAGGGGAGAGATCTTTATTTTCCTCCATGCCCATCTTCTCTTTTCTTCTAAATCCTTTTCTACTTGCATCTGTCCATTCATCCATCCATCACTCATCCATCCATCCGCCTATCCATCCCTCATCTGTCCGCTCATCACCCGTCCATCCATCATCCAACCACTAGTCACTGAGTGCCAATTATATGCCAATCACAGTTCTAGATTCAATAACGGACAAGACAGATACGTCCTTGTTCTCAAGAAGCTTTTCTCAGTCTAGAGAGTGGAGAAATGCCAGTAATCAAGCTTTACAGTCCATGAAGTAAACCTGCAGGGAGCTATGAAACAGAAAGAAAGGCACATAACCTGTTCTGGGTGGGGATGGGATGGGTGTCAGGGAAGGAAGTCTTCCTGGAGGAAGTGGCGTCTAAGCCAAGACCTAAAGGAAGAGTAAAGAAGTGAGAAGATGAAGAGAAGGCCTTGGGAGAGTGGAGTACAGAGGAGTCAAGGTGGTGAAGGGGAGAGTGAAACATTAAGGAATCTGAGGAATCCCAGAAAGTGATTCCGGCTGGCCAGGGCACAGAGAGGTGGTAGGGAGGGGGCTGGAAAGATGGAGGTAAGAAGGGACAGGCAGTGTTATGCCAAGGAGCTTGGACATGATCCTTGGACAAGAGTGGAGGAGCAGGCATGCTGAGGTCTCTTTTTTTTTTTGGCCTTGCACCTCACAGCTTGCGGGATCTTAGTTCCCCGACCAGGGATTGAACTTGGGCGTACGCAGTGAAAGCACAGAATCCTAACCACTGGACCACCAGGGAATTCCCTTAACCCCTGTAGTTTCATCTCTCCCACTTCTCACTTCCCTGAGCTGCTTCTCCTAACCCTGCTGGAGTATTTACAGCAAATCTCAGACATCAGATCATTTCATCTGTAAATACATCAGTTTGCAGCTCCAGCAAATATGACCGCTTTTATGTAAATTAAACATCACCATAATATCATTATCATATGTAAAACAGCCCCTAATCATTTCTTAGTATCATCTAATAATGTAGTCCTGTTCAAATTTCCTTAATGGTCTCAACTATGCCTTTTTATAGTTGGTTTGTTCAGATTCGGATCCACACAGGGGCCACACAATGTACTGATGTGTCTTTTAGATGTTTTTAAGTCTCTGTGTCCCCCACCCCCTTTTTTCCCTTTGTTGTTCATTTATCGAAGGAACTAGGTTGTTTGTCCTGTCAAATTTCCCACATTTTGGATTTGGCATCCTTTTCATGTCATTTAAAAACGTTTCTTTGATTGGGTCTTTCCTGTAAACAGGCAGATTAATATTTTTATTAATATTAATATTTAATATTTTTTGGCAAGAATAATTCAGAGCTGGAGCTGTGGGCTACCTACAAGCTCTCGTCATCAGGCCCTTGGTACCCGTAGTTTTGTTCTTATGATGTTAAGATTGATCAATGGGTTCAGACATTGTCAGTCTGATCTGCCCATTATAAAAGTTTCCCATCAGCTGCAGGCCTAATGATTTTAACAACTATTGATGACCAGTGCCTAGACCCATTATTTTATTAGGGTTGCAAAAAGGAGATTTTCTATTTCTATCTTTCCTTCTGCTTTTAATAGCTAGAATTCCTCTAGAAAGAAAAACGTTCCTTTATTAACTGTTTCATTACCTTGAAATAAATGCATGGTTTTTCCTCTGTTTACTAGTTTTAGAAAAATGATTTGGTGCCTTAGAAACTTCCAGGGGTAACCTCTCATAGTTTCTCTCTCTTTTTGTTTTTTTTTTTTTTTTTTGCGGTATGCGGGCCTCTCATTGTTGTGGCCTCTCCCGTTGTGGAGCACAGGCTCCGGACGCGCAGGCTCAGCGGCCATGGCTTACGGGCCCAGCCGCTCCGTGGCATGTGGGATCTTCCCGGACCAGGGCACGAACCCGTGTCCCCTGCATCGGCAGGCGGACTCTCAACCACTGTGCCACCAGGGAAGCCCCCTGCAGCTTTCTTTATGTAACTCTCTGTCCTGGGTTTGCCCCACAGACAGGCTCCCTCCTTCTGCCTTTAACCCCTGCCTTGTTCTGTTATGTGACCGCAGCATAGCTGGTGCTGCGTTCCCCTACTGTTGCTGATTTGGTTGGTTTCCAGTCTTTTGCTGTTACCCATGGTGCTACCCAGAGTATCTGGCTGTGGGTTGAGGGCCCTCCCTGTCAGGAGGTCATTGTGATAATCTATGAGTTAGTGATGCTGGCCTATAATTAGGATGAGCTGCCGGGGTTGGAAACGAGTGGATACATTTGAATGATATTTAGGAAGTGAATTATCAACATTTGTTGATGGACTGGAGATGGGGCATGTGTGGAGAGAGGGTTCAGGATGACCCCCCCTGCGGACATCCACGCAGCCTCTGCTCTTCCCTTTGGCCCAGGTTCCTCGGCCTCGGCGGCGGCCCTGTGCTCAACAGTGCCTTCGCTGGTCCTGACATCTGTGCTGTGCCTGGGCTTCGCCCTCTGCGCCTCCATCCCTGTCCTCGCCCTGCAGTACGCCACCTTCACCCTGCAAGTGATCAACCGCTCCTTCCTCTACGGGGGCAATGCTGCCTTCCTCACCCTCGCGTACGTAGGTGGGCTTGGTATGCATCACGTGACGGGGGCACCCTTGGGGCAAAGGGAGGCATGCTGGGGGCAAAGAAATCAGGAGGTGAGGACCAGAGGTGGCCAGAGGAGGCACACAGCATCTGGGAGCAGGTATAGAGGAGGTGGAGGCTGGTGGGAGGGTTAGAGCCTTCACGTACATGAAAGCTCTTCATGTCTGCTCCCCTCTGCCTCGGTTGTCTACCCTGTGAACTCCTATTCACCCTCCAAAGCCCACTTCTGTTCCAGCTCTCCCAGGGAAGAGTAGAAAGAAAGCGTCTTTCTTTCCTTGTGCCTCTCTATTCTTGCTTCCTCTGATAGTGCATGCATCATCTAGCATGTAGCAGAATTATTCACGTGTCTTTTCCTTGAGACCTCCCGGGGCACAGCCCGTGTCTGGGTCCCTGCTGTTTCCCCGGGATCGAGCATGGCGCCGTCTCTTTGCTCTGTCGTTTGAAAGCCTAAGCAAAGGTGAAGGAGGGGAGCTGTGTGGGTGTGGGTGGATGAAAGCAGGCTTAGGCCAGGGGAGCAGGGGGCTGACCAAGGCCCACCACAGCCAGAGCTCACTGGAACCTCATTTGTCTCTCTGCCCAGGTTCCCTTCAGAGCACTTTGGGAAGCTTTTTGGGCTAGTGATGGCCTTGTCGGCTGTCGTGTCTCTGCTCCAGTTCCCCATCTTCACCCTCATCAAAGGCCCCCTCCAGAATGACCCGTTCTACGTGAGTACTGTGGCGGGTTGGGGGACCCTGGCCTTAGACCAGCAGGGATGTCCAGATTGGGACAACTGTGTTGGTCCCCAGCAGGGAGTGCCCCCCAGCTGGCTGGGGTGGCCTGGGTGTGGTCCCTGCAGGAGCATTTCTTCACATGGGTACATCCTTGGTCTTGCTTCTCAAACTGGGGCCAGTGGGAGTACCCTGCCTTGTGCTGGGGGTGGGGGGGGCGGTGTCCCTGAAGCCAAAGGGTTAACATGACACAGCTTCTTCCCAGGTCACTGAATACTCTCTAGGCCTCTGTTTTTTCATCTGTGGAACGGGCATTGGGACTTCCCTGGCGGTCCAAGGGTTAAGACTCTGCGCTTCCACTGCAGGGGCGAGGGTTCAATCCCTGGTCAGGGAGCTAAGACCCCACATGCCACGGGGTGCGGCCAAAAAAAAAAGGCATAATATAATATTCCCCTACCCCCCACCCACCCTGCTCCATGGGGCAAAATGGAAAATAACCAAGAGTCCATCCCAGAGGGCGCCATTGGGTCTGATGGAAAGTAGGGGATAAACCAGGCAGGATTCTGGTCCCTCCACTGGTGGTGGACTTCGCCTCACTGCTTCCTCTCCCTCCAGGTGAATGTGATTCTGGTGCTCGTCACTCTTCTGACGTTTGTCCACCCCTTCCTGGTGTACCGGGAGTGCTGGCAGAAAGAAAGCCCCCCTGGGGTTGCCTAGTTCAGAAGCCCTCCCTTTTCAGCCCCGAGGACGTGTCATCTTCCTTCACCTTTGAGCACCCCGTGTCCAGAAAGACTTTGCCCACCCAGGCTACTTGTATTAAGTAGCCATTATTTTTTCTTAGAACAAAAAGACATATTTAACTGTCCACCAGGCCTTCTTATCGGCGAGCCAAGAAGCAAAGTCACATGGAAGTTCTTAGTTTCAGGGGAGGAAGCGCATGGCCCTGGCAGATGCTTGGCCCGAGGTGGGGTGACGTGATGGGAGGGTGTGTCCCCTGCTTCTCCAGGCCTCTTTGTCTCTGAAGCCCATGTGTGCCTGGGCCCTGTGCTGCTGGGTAAGTTTCCGGGTGAAGAGTGAGGTTGTCATGGCCGCGTTGCCACCTGGCATTCAGAAGTGGCGCCCAGGGCTTCCCTGGGGGCGCAGTGGTTGAGAGTCCGCCTGCCGATGCAGGGGACACGGGTTCGTGCCCCGGTCCGGGAAGATCCCGCGTGCCGCGGAGCGGCTGGGCCCGTGAGCCATGGCCGCCGAGCCTGCGCGTCCGGAGCCTGTGCTCCGCAACGGGAGAGGCCGCAACAGTGAGAGGCCCGCGTACCGCAAAAAGCAACAACAACAACAACAACAACAACAACAAACAAACAGAAGTGGCGCCCAGCTCTCCGTCAGAGCCCCAGCCTCGTTAGGGAATGAGCCTGGGGAGAAGGAGGGGCAGACCGGGTCGGGTGGGGCCCTGAGCTGAGCCCCAGCTCCGCCGCTGATGCCGAATGACCTTGAGCAGACCCTCCTCCCCACCCAGCATCAGTTTTCCCACCTATAGAAGGAGAGGGTCTTGGAGTTGGAGGTTCTTTCTGGAGTTCACGTTCTAGAAGGTTTTAAGAACAGTGACAAAGAGGCTACCCGAAGGGCCTTGGGAACCAGCTAGCCTGCTTGACCAAAGGATTTGTGATGAAGCCTTTTGGGGATGTTTTCCTCTTCAAGAAGGGAGATGATTATTTACTTTGGTTATTATATAAAAACGTCCTCTGGGGAATAGTTTTGTAATATGTTGAATTATATGTTAAATAATTTTATTTAAAAACTAAAGCCTTTCTGCCTAAGGCAATAGCTGCTCCACCTCTGCAGGCTTTGGAGCTGTCGTGATGTGCATGCATGAGTGCCTGCGTGTTCCTGTCCCAGCCCCAGCCTTGGGGAGTGGATGCAGGGGTGGAGTGGAGGAATCCTGGTGTGGCAGCTGGACCCAGAGGTGGGGCAGGAGCCCTCAGACTGCGATCTGGCCACCTGGTCCTGGGCCCTGGGCTTGAGGACCCCCAGCGATCCCTTCCCTTGTCTTCTCTTTCTGTCTACCCCACCCCTACCCCTACTGTAGCGCTCCCCCCACCCCACAGAACCGTGAGAAATATGGAATCAGAAGGTCAGGTGTGAGTTTCAGTTCTGCCTTTCAGCAGCCAGGCAAGTCCCTTAGCCACTCTCAATCACAACGTCCTCACCTGCATCCCTGAGGGTGATTGTGAGAATTTAAGGTAATTTCTACTGCCTAGCACATGGTGAGAGCACTTGAGCGTTTGTTCCTTTGTTTACTGATGACCGGAGAGGAGGTAGGGAGAAAAGGGGGATAGGTGAGGGACCGGGTGGGCGAGACGGGAGAATCTGGAACACACCGGGTGTTTTATTTGTTTTATTCCTTTTAGCCAGGAGAGGACTGGCGGGGAGGGGCTGGCAGGCGGATTCATTCATTCATTCAATAAATGTTTATTGAGCTGCTGCGTCAGGCATAGGACAAAGCCTAGAGTCCAGCCTGGCAATCCAGGCGGTCAGCAATGTGATGCCAACGTCTCCCCTGCCCTCTTCACCTCCCACCTCCAGGGACACAGAGCTCATCCCTGTGGGTCCAGGTTTCTGGTTTAGGATCTGTGAGCACACCAGTTCCACACTGGGGGCTCACCCTGTCTGCCAGGGAAATCTGCCTGGTCCACCGGGGTCCTGCTCAAAATGTCATCTCCTGTAAAAACCTTTCCTTGGGCTCTCCAGCAGCTCCGAGTTCCTAGGCCTCGGTCACACCCTTCCTGGAGGCTGTGGCCCTGCCAGGGCCACCTCTCCCTTCAACAGCAAGCTCCGGGAGGCGGCATCTGGGTCTCACTAGGCTCGGGGACTAGTGCCTGGTTGCCATGCATGTGGTGCCAGTTAGGGCTTGTTGGAAGAATGATCACCGAATGAGTGGATTCTTTCTTGTTCTGGCTTCGGAACAGGAACTGGAAGGAGAGAGCATAGCACACGGGGTGGGGTGGGGCAGTATGAATTGGGAGTCAGGCCAACCCTTTTGGCGTCCCAGCTCTGTCACTAGTGTGACCTTGGATGGAACACTTCTCCATCTCAGTTAATTTATCAGTGTGATTGGAGTAGACCTGCCTCCCTGGACTAGGTTAGAAATTCGGTCAAGTGCCTAGCACATGGTAGGTACTTAACAGATCAAAGCTATCATTTCAGTTAATAAATTCAAAAGGATGCCTAATACCATGGATAAATAAAATGTGGTATGTCCATACAATGGAATATTATTTGGCGATACAAAGGAATGAGGTATTGATACATGCTACCATATGCGTGAACCTTGAAAACATTATGCTAAGTGAAAGAAGCCAGTCAGAAGAGGCAGAATATAGTATGATTCCATTCAGATAGAAAATAGGCAAATCTGTAGAGGCAGAAAGTGGATTAGCTATTGCATGGGGCTGCAGGCAAGATTAGTGACTGCTAACGGTAAGGGGTTTCTTTCTAGGATGATAAAAATCTTCCAAACTTGATAATGGTGATGGTTGTACAACTCTGAATATACTAAAAACCATTGAGTCGTACACTTTAAATGGATGAATTGTGTGGTATATGGATTATATCTGAACAAAGCTGTTATTAAAAAAAAAAAATGTGCCTGGATTCCTCAGGAAGTACAGAGAACAACTGTATCCAGAGAGAGTCAAGGATGATTTCTGGGGGAGATAAGTGCGTGAGAGAAGCAGCCCATGTGTACAGCCCTCATTTCTGTCCCAAGAGCCTCCCTCCTGTAACCTCTTCCTCAGATGGAATCAACCACTGTTTCCAACAAGGAAGCAAGCAACCCAGGGGTTTCACAACTTTTGATTTCACTCAGCAACAGGCTCCCAGTGCAACCCTTCTCTCTGCTACCAGCCTCAGCAGAGAGGGACTCTGGCAAATATGCCCCTGCTGTGGGCAGTGCCGGGCGGTGTCTTCCCTGGGGCAGGGGACAGTCCACCAGGAGGAGGAGGGCACCTGCTGTTCAAAGGACAGCGACAGCATGAATCAGAAGCTTTGTGTGACCATCTCCTTTAATCAGCATCAATTTACAGATGATCAAAGTTAGGCTCTGCGGGACAAGTTACATCCAAGATCATCCAACTATTGCATTGTGGAGCTGGTATCTAAACCCGCGTCTGTCTGACTCCTAAGGTCACCTTCACATTCAGTTTAGACATTACTTTTTCCTTTTGTGTTTTTGGCCGCGCCGTGTGGACCCACGGCAGTGAAAGTCCTAAACACTGGACTGCCACGAAATTCCTGACGTTACCTTTTCTTTACATTCATTCTTATGTAAGAAATAAGTAGTTGTTGTAAAGCAGATCAGCAAATAAAGAACTGCGTGAAAAAGAAATACTGCTGTTAATTGCGGCGCTCTGAGCTACCATCGTGGCTAACAACAGGGGCATGTGTCCTCCCAGTGGTGCAACCATCTCGTAGGCTCTTCTTTACGTCATCAAGTAGTTGTCAAAAACATGACTGTGGGGCTTCCCTGGTGGCACAGTGGTTAAGAACCTGCCTGCCAATGCAGGGGACACGGGTTCGAGCCCTGGTCCGGGAAGATCCCACATGCTGCGGAGGAACAAACCCATGAGCCACAACTACTGAGCCTGCATGCCACAGCTACTGAAGCCCACACACCTAGAGCCATGCTCTGCAACAAGAGAAGCCACCGCAATAAGAAGCCCCCGCACCGCAATGAAGAGTAGCCCCTGCTCGCTGCAGCTAGAGAAAGCCCGCGCGCAAGACCCAACACAGCCGAAAATAAATAAATAAATAAATAATTTAAAAAACCAAAAAAACAAAAACGTGACTGTGAACGGCTGCTTACAACCCCATCTTATGGCTGTGTCACAACTCGATCCCCCACTCCATCCTGGGTCTCCCCTCACACACGTCTTGGACATTGTGGTTCCCCCTCCCTTTCTGTCCCCCCTTCTGCTGCCTGAGCAGGGGGTCCCAGATGACAGTGAACCGTGAAAGCAGCCTAGGACAGGTTGAGAGTGTAAATAATAATAGAGCCAGAAGAGCCACCGTGGGAGTTTCTAGGGAATGACATCACATCCATTAATCTTCCCTTAATGGTGCTCACTGTTCTCCAGTCTGAAGCTATTGGCTGCCCGCTTCCCAGGGGCGTTGATCCTCTTCCCCTAATTCAAAGCTTGGGGTCCTAGCAGTTATGTCCCGGAGCGCCTTTTTCTTCCAGCCCCTTGGGGGATAGATGCTTCCCAAATGCGCTGGGTGTGGCTCTGGGGCACAGCAGTGAGTCCCTCCTTTAACGTGCTTTGGGAAGAACAATTCATCCAGGCTCCAGTCCTTTGTTGGTGATGAGGACTTCACAGGTGGGCCATGTCTGACCACTCCTGGGTCCACTGCTGCCCACAGCGGGGCTGACTCACTGGCGGGGTGATTAAACCCAGGACGTTGCTCAGGTCCCTCCACATTCCGTTTGCTGAGTCCAGTTCCCAGGCCTGAAGATGGACTCAAGCAGTAGATGCATGGGGAAAGGCTCTGGGCTTCAGACACTTACCAGCTGTGCGACCTCGAAGAATCCCTTAGTCATACGGAGCCTCAGTTTCCTCACCTGTACGAAGATAATAAGCAATATGGGAGCTGGTTGGGAAGACTACAGAGGACTTTGGGGAATAAAAGGTAGAGGTACCTTGGGCTCGGCAGTTGGACTGTCCAAGACCAACTGCCGGCTCTTTACCATGCAAGCTCTGGGACTTAGGTTCATGGTGCCTTAGTTTCTTCATCTGTAAAATGGGGATA